AATTATTCTATCAATAATTATTGTTACTACATTACATACACACACGCATATAACTAACAAGTGACTTTATTAACATAATGATAAGAAAGTAATCAAATCAAATCAATCTAATATATATATAGCTTCCGTACGTCCCAAGGAAGCTGTAATGCTATCATGCACAGATAAAATTTTAAGAGAGATGATCACTATTATTTCTTTGTACAAATAATATTTTTAGATAATTGCCTTTATATTGATCTTATAAATATAAATGAAAGAAATGGGTAGGGGAACCACACGTCATGTGTAAATATACGGGAGTTCTATTAGTATTTTAATAAACTCAATAGGAAAAAAATTAATAAATAGTAATCTTTATAAATAATTAATCATCAATAAGAATCTATAAAATTTAATTGTATACAAAATGGTCATATAAAAAATCCAGTATAATTTTCTACAAATAGTTTCTAAATTTAATCATATTTTAACAAAACTGCGTGAGAATATTATTAATATACGTAAATACGGATTTTATAACCCGCATGTCTTTCCTTTAATATTAATATTAAAAAGACTACGAATTAAATAATAATTTGAAATCTGCGTTGGTTACACACCGATTTTATACACTGTTCGTGAATGTTTAAAGAACATTCTCGTATGTATAAATTACGTTTGTAACAAATGATGATATGGAAGCAAACAGTTTATAGAAAACAAGCAAGCTTCTTTAGCATGAATATTTATTTAATTTTTTTTTTTGAATGTTTTATTTGTTATTTTATTTATACATAATATTATTTTTTATAAAGTCGACTCTTTCAATAATAATGTCAGTACACGCCGATTTTATTTATCTAGTTTACTATTAATATGGAATTTGCTTACTAAAAATGAATGGATTTGCGTCGATCTGTATCCCATTTTTTTGAAATTCGGCTTTTACAATTCTATTGTGATCGTCGTCTAAAAATAGTATAGAAAGAAAGGGCTCGCTAGTATTAACTAATTTACATTGTATTATTCCCGATAATAAAATATTATTTATTCTGTGGCAAATATTGTATTTTGTTTGTTATCGTTTAAAGTTCGGGTATCTTTTAATTTAAAGTATATACTGTTTAATTTTATGCATATATTAATATGCATAGTTTTTAAGAATAGTATTTGATCAACCAATTTTTGGATCATCATGATTTGATTTTATTTCACACGTTGAATTAAAAAGACCTTTCACTTCCTTGGCACCGGGAAGACAGAAGAATAGAAGAGTTACATGTATTAGTATTGTTTATTTAGATGTTGACCAGGGGTTTTTGAAATATACACGTATATATAATATAATAAAAGAAACGGGACAAAGCAAGGCAATAATTTTTATTTTCTTATTATTATAAAATCAAATTATGGTAATAATAATTAATATATTTATTATTTATTGATTATTTTAAAATAATATTATCGTAATTCATTTCGTGGCAATCCAGGGCGAAATAAGCAAATATATTCTGTAAATATCAAGTTGATTGATTATATTATTATTATTATTATTATTATTATTGCTTTTGTTGCTTTTATTACTTTTAAAAAAATAATTTATTAAAACTCTTGATAAACTGGGTATTCCTAAAAGATGATGATATGCAAAGAAGAAAACTAATTGAAAAAATATAAAATGTAGGCTATCTAAAGATCTAGAAAGTAAATCTATATATATACACATATATACATATATATAAATATAAAAATGAAAATTTATTAGTGAAATCAAATCTTTTTTTAGATAACTATATACAGACAGATATTTAAAAAAGAAAAAGAGCGAGCGCATAATTTAAAGAATTGATTGAACTTTGAATATTTACGTTTATTTACTTGATATAATATCATTGGTGGAAAACATAAAACCGCTATTAAGGATGCCACACTTATACTTTTATCTATTCTTTGAATCGATTGCGACATTATTTATTACACCTTACATAAAGAAATTGTTTTTAGAATTTAAAAACCACAATTTCTGAATTTCAGTGGTACAAAGTGACATTATTAATAAAAACCAAAATTTCGTAGTACAAAGTGATAAAATTTACATACATGTAATTTTATTACAAATCAAAAGAAAAATACACTCAAGAAATCAAGAAATAAGTACAATGGAAAATTCGGCGTAAAAAAATAAATAAAGGAAAAAGAAATAGAATTGAAAATTCTTGATAATGATGATATTGGCTGGGAAGAAAGTGATGTAAAACAAATAGAATAAAATTGAATGACAAGAGTTCTTGATAATGAAGTTGAGTGGGGGTGATGACGATAGTAGCTGGGAGGGAGAATTTTTTTTTTTATGAAAACTCAATTAATAAACCATTAAAGTTGAAATGGATTAATGATAATGCATCATTGGAAAAGCAAAAGAGAAATAAGCATTGGGATTAGGTCAGCCATGCCACAATAACAATAATAATAATTCAGTTAATAATATTTCGAAAGAAATCTCTGGGGTGTTTCCATACATGCAACCTGAAGTATTATTGGGAATCCCGCATACAAAAATATCCAACGTTTATGGTACTGGAATGATTATGGGTAAAAACCCATTTTATGACAGGCTACACGATAGAAGTCTTATATTAGATATTTGGAATGGAGAAAGGCCTCAGATAACTAAGGACACGCCTAGGAATTAATGAAAGTTTCTGGGGCTCTAATCTGGAGAATAGATCAACTATTCAAGAAATTTGTAAACATTTGAATAAATATCAATTTTTAATAATCCTTTAAAAAAAAAGTATTGAAGCAAAAAGACGTGAAATATTTTAGACGGTATTTTTCATACAACTAAAAAAACAAAGATAAAAAATTTAATAAGTTTATTAATTTTTATAAATTTAAAGAAATATACATTAACCTTGTTTCTTTATGAGTTTCTAAAACACTTTAAACCACAATATTTTATTCCACAAGTTCTACAAGTATACTTTGATAATAAGAATCCACAGACTGAACAAAATTTCCTTGGAGGAAATTTAGAGATTTAATTGCAAACTGTAAGATAATTAGGAACATCTGGTGGATGTTCTTCAAGTAATTGTTAATGATTATATATTATAAATCTACTGCTTCACAAGCTCTTTTTTATTTCTTGCTTTGGTTTTTTTATCTAATAAATATAAATCAATTGATTATGATTATTTCAGTTGTTATCACTTCTAATTTATACTTGCTGACACTAACTAACGTCAACTTCAAAAGCTCTTCGCGATTTTGTTATGGTTCCTGATATTATCTCGATTCCAGGAATCGCCGCGTAATTGTCACATTTAAATGATGTTGAATATTCCGATTTCGTGTATATTCATCAAGAACTATTTATTATCAATAAACGATTTTTAAAATAATAATAATAATAATAACAAATTTTGAAATGTACCAGTCACTCGATTTAAAATTTTCGACATTTTAGCAAATTTTTTGGGGGGCTCAACATCACAATTGTACTACCAATATAATGCTGCGATGTTGTTACTTTGCAGCATTTTTACAAAAGATGTGACGACCAAAAGTTACAAACCGTTCAATATCAAGAGATCGGATAAATCATTATATATATCGAGCTGAATTTACATATAATGAAATTTCCCAGCTTCATTATATTGTGCGATTCATTATAAAGTAGGTCACTATATCGAGCACAAACAGTAGATAAGTGCTTGCCACTACAATTTCATTTTTTATTGACTTCCATTCTATTTCATCTATTATCTCTTACTTTATTTGATGAAAATTTAACTATTGGAAGTAAATCTTTTAGATACAATTCTTCTTGTTCATCAATACAATAACTTGTTTCTAAAGGCTTGGAATGAAAACCAATAACCACACCTCTACTTCCATTTACAAAACCTTCTTTCAAAGTTTTAATAAGCATCGCGCTTCAATTCTAATATGCTGGGTTATATATAGACAATTACTAATAAATTCTTTTATATAAATATGATTTTCATACGAATAATCTCGATTTGAATATCTTTTTATAATATTTACAATAAATAATATATATAAATTAATAATAATAATAATAATAATAATAATATAGTAAAGATCCAACAACTTACAATTCAATATTATCATCAGGATATTGTAAAGGAGATGATAATTGATTCATTATTGTTAATGTCTTTTCCAATTCTTATTTCATTTAATAAATCAATAAAATCTAACGGATAAAATAAATATATGCAGATGAAGTTTGTCCATATTTACTATATCTAATATTGATAATTGTTAATGTTTTATGTATTTATTCCAAGATCTTGTCTCAAAGCAAATTTAGTTATATATATACGCACGCGTTTCTATTTTTTTGTGTGACAATGTGCATCGGAAGTTTTGAAAGAAGACGTTTCAAATTCGAATGAGAGTAGTTTAGTAATAAAAAAATTTTTTAATTTTAAATTTAAAAATAAAAATTTAAGAATGGAAACAACGTTAAGCGATGATTTAGTGAATGTACCTTTTGCAAGGTTTAAAAAAGAATAATTATTTTTCAAACTGTTTATATTTGCTTTTGTTTGCTATACGATATATATATATATATATATATATATATATTAATATTTTCTTGATTTCTATATTTGTTTTTAATAGAATTTCAAAAACTGTTGTTAAAATATCAGACTTTGGTATTATAATTTATTAATTGTTGTAGTCGTAAACGTTCTTTTGTTGAATATATATATTTATATTATATTTATATTTTTTTTGTATGGTAGAAGAAAGATCATTTAAAAACTATGCGCAATTACATTTCGGTTCGCCCTCTTTGCCGCCATCTTCAAATAGCAAAAGATTATCATACAATGATAAAAAATACTATGAAGGAAAACTTAATAAAAAATATGGTAAAATGCAGGTAGAGAAAATAATATCATTATAAAAGATAAAAAAAAAATTTAATAAAAAAATATTCCTCTACTTTAACATAATAATGATAATGATAATAATTTAGCATAAAATGGAAGAAATGGCAAATGAATCAAAAAAAAATGTTATAGCAGCGGCAGTAGCAGCTACTATTAACCAACAACATTCTCATATTTCAAAATATATTCCAAAATGGAATAAAAATATTAATGTTTTAAGAACAAACAAACGCTGTTTATCTTCTTCTAATAGTAGTAATATTGGTGGTGGTGGTGACAGGTTGTATTATCATCGTCATCATTTTCAACAGCAAAAATATACAAATCGTAAAATAAATAATAATCAAATCAATGGTTTTAATTTACAAAAATCAACAACATCAAATTCGAATGCTTTTAATTGCCATCAAATCCCGAATCAACTCGCTAACAACAAAAACAACAACATTAATATTAATATTAATGTTAGCAATTTTATTGATATTGATGGTAATCTTTATAATGATGATAACAATATTATTGATACTGATGATGATCTTTATAATAATGATAGCAATATTATTGATATTGATGGTAATCTTTATAATGATGATAGCAATATTATTGATATTGATGATAATCTTTATAATGATGATAACAATATTATTGATACTGATGATAATCTTTATAATGATGATAACAATATTATTGATACTGATGATAATCTTTATAATGATAATGATAAAAGATATCCAGTATCACCAATAAGAGATTATATGATGAGATCTGCACAACAAAAAACAAATCCAAATAATGATTTTATTTTCGTTATGACGCCACCGCCATTTAATCCATTTGATCATTATGATAATATTGATAATAATAGCAATCTCAATTATCCAGTAAAGCAATCTGAATCTTTATCGCTTACTCTTGGAAATCGTTCAAATAGATTTATTGATAGATTGGCTCAAACCATTATCGATAATGATTGTGATAATAATAATAACAACAATACTAGTAATTATGATGATGAAAGTGGCAATTATAATGATAACAACAATAACGAGAATGATACTAGTGACAATAATGACAATGACAATGATAATGATAATGATGGCTATGTTAAAAAATATCTAGATGATAACGATGATAATGGTAGTAGCGATAGTTATGGTGGACATTGTCGTGGTAACGAATCATCATCACCATCGCTTGATTCTAATTCATTAGATTGTGTGTAATGTAGTTTGTATATCGTGATATGGTAGGATCTTATATTAATATTTTTTCAATATGTGAGTATATTTAAAAAATAAAATAAATGAAAAAATCATTAAACTATTGATTCTACTAAAACAGATAAACAATAAGATAAATCTGACGAATCACTATTTGATTCAAAATAACTGATTTCCCAGATATCCATCCAATAAATAATAAGAAAAATATATTCTACACATATGTAGCCAATTAAAAGGAATATTCCCATATTTGATTGGCTAATTTCAATTAGGGTTGTTAAATGGAGCATAATGTTCTGGCATCAACCTGGAGTAACCTGTAGTAACCCGGAGCAACCCATGGAGTATTAACCCAGTACATTTAACCCGGGTTGGGTTAGGTTAACCCTTGCTTCACTATAATATGAACCCAACCCAACCCATTAACAACCCTAATTATTAGCACTTAGTTCGTTATAATTTCACCGAGGTGTAAGTTTTTGTGCAAATTTAGAGTTCCATATTTCTTTATTTATAAAAATTTCTTCCCTTTTGTAGGCAAGCATTTTACAAATTAAGTTATGCATTCTTTCAGCTTTTCCCCTAAACTTTATCAATTAAAGATAAAAGAATTATTTTTGAAAAAAAAAAAAATACTTCCTATAATATTTTCTGATTAATGATCGTGTATAACAAACAAATTCTTCATATTATTTAACCACAAAAAACCTCCTAATATAATAATGATTTTTGATTGTCGCGTAAGAATTTTTCCGATTAATATTTGCTAATCAATGGTCACGTAACAACAATTCTTTCCAGATTGTTTAACCATGATCTCTTTTTAATCAAATTAATACTAGATGCAAAGTTTGTATGCCCAATTATGTAAATGATAAAAACAAAATCTAATTATATACATAAATTAATCCAATAAATATGTTAATATATTTACACTTGCACACTTAATGTTTGGATTTATCGCCCAATCATCATATCAAATATGTTGGAATCTGTATTATTTTGAAAAAATTTACTTAAATATTTTTGATAAATAATAAATATAATAAACCAATAGTTGATATATTTTGATTAAATCACATTTCATATAATTTTTTCTTTTTTTTTCTATTGCTTTAACTCTTTTCTACACCACTTTTACAACACCAATCATAATGTCAAACGTGCTAACTTTTATCTCTTATCCTTTCTTCTCTAATAAATAAAACCTTCCAATTGGTGGAGAATACCTTTAACTATAAGACAACAATTAAAATCCAAATCCAAATCCAAATCCAAATCCAAATCTGCATTTTTATAAATATTTGTTTTTTATTCTTATACTTTTTATAATAAAAGTCTTTGTGTTCGATTCTTCATTTTGAAAATTAGGTTGGTCAACCACAAACCTAAATATATCAAATAAAATTTTTCATATTTATTTATTCATTTTGTATAACAACTACTCTTTATATATATAGTTCGCTCTCTCTATAACGAACCATTTGGCTTAAGAAAAACGTCCGTTATAAAAGAGAATCCATTATAAACAGTAATAATTTATATAAATTTCTCAGTCTGTTATAGAGCAAGATCCGTTATAGAAAGATTCGTTATAGAGAGAGTAACTTTATGTACTTCATTAATAGAATTATTGACACTCATACTTGGATCATCAAATGGCTATTTTTTAATATGATAAAATTTAAAAGGTAAATCAAACATATTGATTAATGATTGATCGAGTTGATCGAGTCACATTTCAATGTGATTTCATAAGGGATATGAAATTTATATTTATGAGTTTATTGTAGTAGCTTCACGTGGATTTAAAAATTTTATATGTAAGCAAGTGTAACTACTTTCTTCTGTCCATGTTTTAAATTAATCCATTTTTTTTTTATAAAAAATTTAAAGAGAAAAATAAAAAGGGCGAAACGCGTCCTTATACCACCCACACACCACGCATCCAAAAGAAAACCGCTTTTTGGGGGCATTCATTAAGGGATTTATATTTTTGTCAAACAAATGGTTGATACGTTTGTTTTGCGTAAATAAATAATTATAAGAAATGTCAAAAAAAAGCATCATGACGATTGAAGATCTCTCTCTCTTGGGAAACTGCACTTGAACAGTTTGGAAACACCAAAAAATTCGATATGCAACGTTTGACTGAAGTGTATTATTACTTGGGGCTCAAATATTACGATTCCTAAACTGACTACAGTGCAATTAATTGCTTAGCTCGATATATATACAGTCAAATCCTCGTTTAAACGAATTTTTAAAAATCTTGTTATTACAAAAATTCGTTGAAACGCGGTAGTAATCTCGTTTCAACGAATTTTGAATGAACTTTTCTTATATGTCCAGCCACTTAGTTGAAACGAGATTCGACTGTAGTTTGATGACATGTCAATGAGATGAAATTGTAACTATGTAGAGGAAGGTCCTGGCTTCAAAAACATGATTTATTTTGGGGTGTTGCATTTCCATATTTGGGGATTTGAAGGATCTACACGACCAATAAAATGTTTGCGAGGCTAAGTGACAACCTTCCCGCATTAAATGAAAAATTTGAAAGCTAAACTAAAACTTTCAAACGACTACTCAAACAAGAAGCTAGCTAGTATTGGTTATTCTATGACAATTTAAAAGCGTTGCATTTATTGGCACTTTCCTCGAGATGTTCATAAAACTAGAAGGGCGTATAAAGTAAAGACAATTGTAATGGGTGCATCGAACTTTTTGAAGGTTAAATTAGGAAAATTTCAATTTACTTGTAAGGCCTTGAAATTCTGGTTGACGTAAGATCATACATACTATTATTATTTCCAATGCTAATAATAATAAAAAGTATTATTTCGCTCCACCTCTGTTTGAAAATACAAATAAATAAATATTTTTAGGAATTCAATAATTCATTTTGCTAATTAAAATCTAAGTTAATTTGATCGTAGAAGCGGAATCAAACCATCTAAATCACAAAGAACACAAATTGTAATTGGCATTTAAATCTTTCGCGTCCTATAAAAATAATCTAAATGGTCTCATATATATATCACCACATTTTATAATGAACATTACTTGATCCTTCTGCAAGAAGATTTGGGTCAAAAAATCATTGCCAAACCTATGCTAAATGATATTAAATAGATGGACATTTGAAACCTCTTGAAATTAAAACAGTGCATATTAAAATTCGTGTGCATTGCTTATAAAAATTAAAAATAAATATACCATGTGTGGTGATTGCAGAAAACAAACAAAGGCCCTTATTTAAAAAATAAAAATGTCCTTCATTAAGTTATCAACACAAGACAGAAGAGATTTAGCACATAAAACTCATAATGAAATGAATAGTATTGCTTACTCTGCTTTCCCAACTACTCCTAACAGAGAAAATAGAAAGGGTTATTTTTTGCTATTAGCCAAAGAAAACAAAGAACTATTAGAAAATGGAAAGGAATATCATAGAAAAAGGTTTATTTATGATTTTGAATTAAAAAAAGCAATTAATAAATGGGGTGAACCAATCATTGCGATTGTAAATAACAAGATATTCTATTAAATTTTGTGAAAAGTGTATTAGCCTACCTACACTTACTTTACAGTCCGGAAATGAGATAATTGATAGTTTTATTCAAGGATGTCAGCATTTTTCATCTCTTCCATATGGAATTATGGAATGGATACTTTATGAGCAATTTGATCATATAGAAAGTTAACAGAAGGTGAATTCAGTTCTATTTATGTTACTGAGTAGACAAAAGGAGTTATTGATGGTTATGATGAAAATGAAAAGATGTTTAATTATTTTGGAGTTCAGGATGCAGTACTAAAATCACTGAATAATTAAAGTAATCTTTTTTGATGAGATGATTGATCTTATTTAAAATAAACCATTTATTTTAAATTGATTGATTTTATTTATATAATTAATTTTCAGTCATTGAATTATTGTAAAATTAAAGCAAGCTCAATTGTTCCCCAAGGGTCAGAAAACACGTGATTAAGGGCTTGTTATGACTAAATTCCTAGAAAATGGAAAGTGCTTAATTATGTGCAAGAGGGAAATTTTAAGAGATTATAAAAAAAAAAATTATAATTTAACATCAAATGATGGAATTAGTATTTTTAAATATCATGTGAATCATTATATTTTATACATTCAAAAGATTTGATTTACATGGTGGCAATGTATTGTTGCAAGGAGGTACTTGTTATATCACAGATTTTTTGGATTATGTGGTCCAGTTGATGAAAAACCATCAAATAAAATATATGGAATTGTATCTTATATTACACCAGAGCAGAAAAATATACAAATAATCAGATATTTATAGCGTTGGATGTTAATGTGGAAATATTTGCAGGTCATCTACTATTTGATGATGAAGCACATAATTTTCATTTGCAATTAAAATATGTGAAGGTTAACGATCACCAATATTACCTAATGATTATGTACATACGATGCAAAGGTGTTGGGATGTGGATCCAGTCAAGAGACCAGCTTTGAGTATTTTCTCTTAGAACTGAAAGTCCTAATGAAAGTAATAGTAATATTAATATTGGTGATGGTGGTGGTAATAATAGTAATAGTAGTAATAGTAATAATAATAATAATAATGGTAATAATGGTAATTCACAATAAATTCATAAATCACATCCATTAGCATGTCATACAAGTAGAATATTAAATGATGAATTTGTTAATTTGAATTTAAAAAGTAATACAATTAATGACAGCTCATTAAATGATCTTGATTTTAACCCTTTTCTCTTAAATGGTGATTTTAACAAAGGTGAATAAAAATTTCATTTATTCATTCTCATTTAATAATTATTAAAGATTAGATTTTAGTAATGATAGTATATAGGAAAAATATTGAAAGAATTGATGAGGTGATGAAATTAATGAATTATTGATGAATGACTAATTTAATCTCCATTATAAATTTATTCATTATTTATCTTGTCATTTATATTCCTTAAAACTAAATATTTACGTATCCGTCTCCCTTCTTGCTATTCGGATTACCGTAGTAATCTGAATTTAAAGAGAAGTTAGTATTAGAATTATGATTCATCATCATCGTCATCATCTTCTTCTTCCTCCTTTTCATCAACATCGTCATCTTCTTCTCCCTCCTCCTTTTCATCATCAACATCGTCATCATCATCTTCTTCATAATATTTCTGGTACATTCGAAGCAGGTTGGACTGGGCGAGCGGGAAGAGTTGAAGCTTGTCTTTTTTGTTGGGTAGGTGCTTTAGAAGTTTTAGGCGCTGTTCTTGTTCCTCCACGACTTTTACGTGCCATCTTTATTATTATAATAAATGTAAGATTTTTTTTTCTATGAAAATTTGATCTTGCGATACATAAATTGTGCAGCTTTTTGTAATGTCGTGTAACACTGCCGATAAGTAATTAAACGATCCAAAAAGAAAGCTCTATCATTTTCCTAAACTTTTTTCAAAATGCCAAAGATCAGACATTCACGAACTAAAAAACCTCCACAAGGCTTCGAAGACATCGAACCAGTTTTATTGGAATTTGCTCAAAAAATGAAAGATGGTAATTAAGCTACCACACTAATAATAAATCTAAATAATCGTCAACACAATATCTATTTAAGCATTTATTTGTAATTATTAATAATTTATCATCTAACTAATAAAGCTGAAAACGAACCACATGAAGGAAAACGTCGTGTTGAATCTTTATGGCCAATATTTCGATTACACCATCAGAGATCGCGTTATATATATGACCTTTATTATAAACGAGAGGCCATCTCAAAAGAAATTTATGATTATTGTTTAAAAAACGGTTATGCTGATGGAAATTTAATTGCAAAATGGAAGAAGGTAATTATTATATCATTACCATCATCAAAAATTATTATATCATAAGCATACATATAATTAATTAATTATTATTGTTATTAGCCTGGATTTGAAAGACTTTGTTGTTTAAGATGTATTCAACCTAGAGATACAAATTTTGGTACGACGTGTATTTGCCGCGTTCCTAAATCCAAATTAGAAGAAGGTCGTGTTGTTGAATGTGTGTTATGTGGCTGCAGGTGACGAATTTTATGCATTATATTAAGTTTTGAGCCTGATACATCATTAATAATGTTGAATTTTTTTCTTTATTTCTCTACTGTCAAATAGAGGTTGTTCAAGTACTGATTTTACTTTTATCAAGAAGGATCAAAAATCAAAACAGAAAAGACTTCAAGAAGAACAGGAAGGTGAAGAGGTGGAAGGTGAAGGTGTGGAAGAGCAGCACCAACGACAATTAAATCAATATATGGCAGCTCAACAAGAAACATATGGAGAATCATCTTCGCAGTCAACATTAGCTGTAAACACAACCACAAACACTACCCAGAAATATTATGAAGAAGATGATGATGACGATGTTGATGATGAAAAGGAGGAG